ATAATCTTTAATCGTTGTAAGGAAAGACAATTAAATCAGTACCATTACGTGTTTCTAGCCAGCAATCAAAACTGATAAAGTTCAGTTGTGTTGTCTTACCAGGATTGATCACTGGAACAACGAGAAGGAGCGTCTCGTCCTCATCACAGATTGGTCCCTCCTCATCTGCAAATACAACTTCATCAGCCTGCAGTGCCAGCACGTGACGAGGATCTCCCTCGGTGCCGTCGACACCATCTCTGTGGGAGAGTTTGAGTTCCCAGCTAAATCTCTGAACAAGTAAGCTGACATGGTAATACTTTCATGTCATGGGAATTCTTGTATTATTATTTTAATTGCTTTGAGCTGTCAACCCTTGTCACTGACCAGTGGACGAGATGGAGAACTCTTCCTTTTGCTGGCGTGACCTGGTGAGCAATGACCAGAGCTTCACTGGAACACTGCAGAGTAGCTGCTGTGCTGCCGGGACTGTTAGTAGTTGCATTAAAAGTGAGTTCCTCCAGGACTTTTAAGATAAGATGAACGGATTTGGGAGCAAAGTTCATCTCTATTCAGCAATGCAGGAAGCAGTAGCAGCAGCAGCACCAGCACCACTTTCGGGCTTTGCTGGACAGCTGGGTGTAAATGTCAGGCCACACGTAAACGCAGGCTGCCCCAGGCAGCGCGGGTCAGGCTTTGTGTCCTGGGCGTCCGAGGAGCTCAGCCTGGTTGCACTCAGCCTGTAAGAACGTACCTTCTGTATTTCACAGGCTGAATTCTTCTATTACTATTCTAGAGGAAAAACTTATTCTCGAACTTACATTTGAGCTCCCAGGTTTAAGCAGGTCCTGACTACATTTGCCCCAAAGACTCCAAAGTCTGTCCACGCTAATTTTGCTCTCTTCACTACCAGGCGGGAAGGCGTTGGCATCCGAATTCAGTGGGACAAGCAAAGTCGCGCCTCCTTCATCAACAGATGGAACCCGTGGTCCACGAACATCCCCTACGTCACCTTCACCGAACATCCCATGGCAGATGCTGATGAGAAGATCGCATCCCTTTGCCTGGTAGGGAACTCGCCTCTCCTGTTCTAGAGGGTTGTTGGTCTCGGGGGCTGGAGAGGACTGGGATTATTTTGAAAAGCTAGAGCCGTTAACTCGGATGGAAGCCGTTAAATCAAAGAGACAGAACTTAGAACTTCCCCATGCTCCAGATTTTGACTTGCAGGGCAGCCCAACTGTCAGGTTTTGCCAGCTACCCAAAAATGGTTTATAGAAGAAGGAACCTGAAACTTCCAGAGGTGCAGAGTCCTGTAAAACCCAAAAGAAAATGGATCTTGGTGCTGTTCCCACCCTTGCTTACCTGACAGGCTGATGCCCGACTTTTCATCTAGGGCTGACAGCTGATGAAACAGATCGGTTTCATTGCTCACTGTAAACCTTCACCTAGGGGGTGCTTAGTTTTTCTTGCAATAGTGGCTTTTTCTTAAAAATAGAACACTACGGTGATTTAAGTTCAACACCTCAGTGATAAGGGCAGGAGAACTACTGTCAGAAATAAACAATATTAGTTAGCTTTAGTGTTAATCCTTCATGATTCAACAGCAGCAGCTGTTCGTCTAACAAATTTTAAAACAATGGAAAAACATGAAGGTAATTTTTTTGTTGTTGTTGTTTCAGCTGGAAAACTTTAAAACTCAGCTAATCCAAGCTGTGAAGAAAGCCCATAAGGAGCATCCGCTGCCGGGAAGGGCTAACGGCGTGCTGGTGCTGGAGCGTCCTCTTCTGATCGAGACCTACCTGGGGTTGATGTCCTTCATCAACAACGAGGCCAAACTTGGCTACTCCATGACAAGAGGCAAAATTGGATTTTAAAATCCACAGCATTTAATCTTTTCAAGGGAAAATGATTTGATCTTGGTCTCCTGGGGAGAGCGCGCTGCGTGGCAGAATACTTGCTAATCAAAGTGAGGAAGTCGGGGGGATGCAGAGGGTGGCTGTCGATCTCACCGCTCGCGGGAGGCCCTGGTTGTTGGGGAGAACGCACAGGTCAGATTCCTCTGAAGCAGACACAAGGTAGTGTCACTCGCCTAGTCTGTATCTAATTTACAGTTCTCACACAGGGCTAGTGAGCTGCGGTGTTTTCCATTTCTAACTCCATGTTCTTCCCTGTTAATTAAGTGTGATTGGTATCAGCTACAAATGCACATATCCAAGATCCAGTAGAACGCTCACACCTATTGCAGCCACATCCCTGTCTGTGGTGTCAGTCAGTGGTGTGCTTGGGACTGGTTGGTGTTGTTTAAGGGGCAGTGGTGTTCGCAGTTACAGTAATCTTAGTGTTTTGATTAACGCCTGTTAAGAGCTTGGAAAGCTGCATCTGTCATTCTTTGGCAAAACAGCATCAGCCAGTTTTGTTAAAGCTGTGCTGCTACGGCTGCTCAGAAGCAGTGTACGTGAACCATCCCTTTGTAAACTGCGGTGTATGGCTGAATATGCCTTGATCAGCTTTTTGTAAAAATACCTCCCTCAAGAACCGAGTCTGACTTCCCCATTTCTAGGTGTGTTTTCTTGCTGCAGCCATAACGACTCCTTTGAGAGCATATTGCCAAAAGCCTCTGCCTTCAAAGCTATTATTTATAAAATGGAAAAGGAATTCTATTTTGATTTGATTTATTTCTTAGCAATTTTTCTTAAATCTGCTCTAGTTTGGGACGGCAGCAGTGCAGGACTTCATAATGGAGACAGATAAAACTGTAAGCACTATACGCCAATCTTGATTTCTGCATTCTTGCACTTCATACAGATGTCCAGTAATAAAATTCAGCAGCAGCGTAAGAGAGACCACAACTGAAATTGCTCTTGAAGTTACTCTAACAAGCTTTTCCATTGTGTCTGACCTTCTATATAGGCTATTTTATCAGAGCATTTATCTGCACAACTACAATGCTGAAGAAATGCTGTGCTGCAGTGGTGGTTTTTTGAACTTACAGTAGATGTGTGTTTATGAAATTTATGTAAAGCTGAAGTCAACGATGGAACGCAACAAGTTGCATGCCCCTCTCAATGCATTTTCTAAGATACCTATTTAATTTTCATTAATCTTGCAATAAAGTTAAATTTTGACTCAATTTCTTCTTTGTTCTTCATTTTGTGGAGACTGAGGGCTGTGAAATTAATAGCAAAATAAAAAACATTCAATAAATTCCTAAACAATAGGCTTGCTTCCTCTGAAGAAGAGGGTGACTGGCTACAAAACCACCTCCTCCTCCCGTGCTGACTTATCCACTCCTGTTTGGCACTAGATAGTGTGGTCAAAAGCTCCCATTTCAGTTGCCTGCAATATATCATTCTCAACTATCAGTTACGACCCTTCTTGTAAAGATGCAGTGTAATAAATCCAGGGTAGACCAGGCACAATTCCTGTCACCCATTAACATCTTAGTCTGGAACAGCAAAATTATTATCACAGATTACTCAGTTTGCTTTCTGAACAAAGAACTTGTTTTGCTTGAACAGTAACTGATTTGCTAGGAAGTGTCTTACTGGTGTATCTGCCTCTGCTACAATATCTAATTCTAATACACCAGAAAAAAATGTTGTCTTCCAAAACTAGACATAAGCTGTACATTGTGGTGTGCAAGTAACTGTTTTCTTGTGCTGATAATACAGAAACCGACTTTCAAATGGAGAAGTGCAAGTTTAGAGAGTCATACCAAGTTTGTAACTATCAAAATATTTATTGGAAATTTAAAAATTTAAATAATAGCTATACATTATATACACACAGCTACAATTTTAGAAAATAAGGTTTCATAGTTGACAAAGTTCAAGAGAAAGTTCAAGTACATCAATACTAAAGTTTTCTTGAAATCCAGACTTCATTCTCTACACTTCAGCTGCTACATCACTGCAATCAAGTGCAATCACGGAGCTTTACACACAGGAGTTTGGTTACCCCTCCTTCAAATAAATAATTTATAAATACAAAACCCTCAGGCAACAGGGTTTGACCCCTTTCCTTACCGTTCCTCAAACAAGTGAGCACAATTGTTATTTTATCTCTTCTCTTTCTAAGTAACACACACAAAAGTTGTCCTTACTCAGAAGCACCATGGAGTCTCCACTAGAATGCCAGGAGAGGGAGACAATCGGGAAGTCACCTGCAGAAAGAGATCAAAGTTTGTCAGCAAGAAGCTGCCAGTCCATCCTCTTACTCTAGGGAAAGGCAGCTGCTGATGGCTTGGTGAAGTTCCTGCAGGCAGCCTTACCTTCCGCTGGGACCTGCACTGACACACAGCCCGCCGGGGACCAGAGGTAGACTTTGCTGTTTCCTGTACATACAGCCAGGCGAGGTTGTCGTGGGTCCCACTGGAAAGACTGGATCGCACACAGCTGCTCCAAGACCACAAACAGTTTCAGCTTTTTAATGTCCCAGATCCAGACAGCATTAGGAATGTTATCTGTCAGAAAAGGAAGAGGTAATCATGAAAATACCTGAAAGATAAAAAGATCACACTCAGGTTTTTTAAGAAATGGGCATTAGTTGAGGTCTAACAGGGCCATGAGTCTTCCCATAGTGCCTAATAACTGACCAGTTATTGCCCTCGTTTCTTTTACAAAAACACACCACAGACAATGAGTAGGTTTCCCCTTTAATCCAGGGCAGCAGGAACTTACCATTTTTGGTTGCCAGGAAACAGTTATCGGGACTGAAAGCCAACATCCCTATTCCCATTTTGGGATTTGCCCTGTCAGCAACTGGTTTGATATACTGTAAGGAAACTGGTACCTGGGAAATGTCATCTGGAATTTGAAATAAAAGTACTTTACTGAGCAAGCCTGAACAAACAAAACATTTAAATGCCAACTGTTAAAAATCCCCTCATCCCTGAAGTGACAGGACCGTATTTTATTCTTCTCCAAGATGTTCCAATCAAAAACTCCAGCTGTTTTATTAACTTTAATTGTCTTTAGCCTGCCTTCAAACCCCCATGCAGACACATCCCCTCTAGCGGGGTGCTCACTGCCCTTGGAGCTCTGCAATTAACTCAGGAGCCTTGAGCAGAGCATCCAGCGGATCCACCCCAATATCAAAAGACGCAGAGTTCACCTATAATATTTATTTATAGAAAGACTTCACATGGCAAACTCAAGTGTCTCATTTCAGTAAACTTTGGCTTACATTTACTTTCTGTGCTGAAGAGAGAACTAGCCAGTGCTCTTGCTGGAGAGAAAGAAAGTCTCTCTGTTTCAACAGATGGGGATTTCTCCACTTCTTTATACACAATCTACAAAGAAATAAGCGAGAGTTCTACAGAAGGGCCTTGGGGCTATTACCAAATCACCCACATCCCACTAACTCATTTTTGAGTGTATTATATCTCAGCATCCCCTAGTTCATCAATGGAGGAAAGGGCTTCAACAGGCAAATACCAAATCCAGCATTCTCAGTGAATCATTTGCTGTTTGGAACCATGATCAGGAGAACAATCCTGTGACAAATAAATGAACCTTGAAGTCTACAAAGAATGAGTCTTACAGAGTACACCCCATTCGTTATTCCTGAGAGCTAAATCAGGCAGTACAATAAATCATCTGCATTATAATGGGAACATAGATTTCATTTTTGCAACACAGACTCTTTAATCGGATACTATCATAAATAAATGCAAACAAAATGCAATATTGCAGAAGGAAATAGCAAAAATACTTCAATAGTGTGCCTACAACATGTTATTCTCAAACGCCATCACTAGGATAAAATGCACCAACTGCAATTCCTGTCTGTATAGTCCAGATTAACAGAGCTATTCCCATGTTTCCCATTACTTCCAGTTAGGTGTAAAATATGTAAGGGCATTTTTCAGTCACGAGAAGTTTTGCTGAGGTGCATTTAATAGATCGTGCCTTGCTGCTGGCTGAGGGGCATCAACACAGCCACATGAATATTGCAGACTTACAGTCTGCACGTGTAAACTCTTACAGGCTGTCTGTCTAGACGCAAGCCTAGTCCTTCCTCGGCAGCAGCATGCAGCGCTACCACACTGTGTTCTTTTTACCTTGATGGATGAGAACAGCTTGTGACTTCTGGAACAAAAGCTACAGCTCTCCGCCTGCTGCCAGCTACCCAGAATCTGCTGGGCCTTGCATATATATGCATGCAAGGATAAAAATAAATGCTGACAGACGTTCACAGGAAGTGCTCTTTAGGTGAGCTGGATGAGCTCATACACACAGGATGTAAATCTGATCACAATCCAGTTCCAACACTCTTTAAAGTCACAAATTGCATACAGCTGGGAAAAATCTCTCCTGTTAAGTTTCCCACTTTGCCATCATCTGCATACCCAAATCTGTAATGCAGTCACCATACGCATCACAACACACTGGCACATGACAGAAGTCACCTGAGAATCTATTAGTGCTAAAGCTGAGAGGATCGTGTGTGCATTCCCTCGAATTTGAAAGGTTTCCTCTGTTTCTCTTACATCCCCAAATTTTCATGCAATTTCCCAAGCCCTATTCACACACTAGGAGGGGAAAAAGCAAGCTCTCCAGAATGAAATCTCTTTACTAGCGTCTTTCAGATACAAATAGCAGCATCAAAGCCCTGCTAATGATTCAATGGATTTTGGATCCATACTTACAGTCTTGCTGTTAGCAATGGTTGCTGGATGCTCAAACTCTATGATCTTCTTCCAAGTTACATGGTTCAAGATACGCACCTAATTCAAGAAAGCATTGCAAGAGAAAAACAACCTGTTACGACAAAGTTCTACAAATGGTTTAAATAAAAGAGAGAAAATAAACCTGTTTCTTACCTTTTCATCATAGCTGCCAATTGCCAGAAATTGGCTGCTAGGACTCCAGGCGATTGATTTTATGCCTAGTGACCATTCATAAGCCCGATACGTGGCTAGCAGTCTGCCATCAAGGGAGTACAGCAAGATTTTATACTGAAACAGAAAGAGATTCCTTCTAAAGACTAACAATACTGTTAAAAACCATAGACAGGCAAAAACATTCCTTCCAAACTCTCCCTGTATTTAACTTGCTGCATTTTAAGCAAAGGGCATGGCCTCTTATCTGTGACTTTGAGACAAGAAGCTAGTAAGATAACTTGCTGTCATTAAAGATTACATAAGTTTGACAAACACTTGTAAGGACATCTATTACCAAGACAACTTTAATATTTAAAACGGTTTGAGTTCAGCTTTTGTTATTTTTAAAAGAAATAAAAAGTTACACTAGTTATTTTAGTTACTGCTTTACACGACAGCTACAAACCAACTTGAACTCTCCAAGAAAATAATCTGCTTTTTCCTCCTACCTCCAGACATGTATCCCACACTGCCAGAACACAGCCATTAGGAGACCATTCAATCCCAAACAGATCTTGCGTTTCAGTGTCAAAATGCTGCCCCCAAAAGAGAAAAAAAAAAAAACAAAACCATTTCAAATATTACACTAACAAATACTGTTGCATCTGACCTAGCACAGTCCTCAGTTTTATCCTTTTAAGTGCTACCACAAATGCAGGAAGCCTTTTGTACTCTAGCATAGAAACAGAAATATTTTCTTTCGCAATAGCATGCTGCATTCATGGTTTCTTTGGTTTTCCTTTACAGAAAAGGCACACAGTTGCTAAACCTTTAAATGAACACAATAAAATGTAGCACAGTTTATTGTAAAGAAGCTCATCCAATAATTTAAAGGTCAACTTTTGCATTCCATCAGCAATTCTTTATGCACATATAGCATATATTGATCTCCCGAACAGAATGCTGCTATGGGAGTTTGCCCGCAGGCCAGGGAAGGAGCCAGATGCTGGATAGAAAATGCATTGGCAAGTCTAAAACCAGACTACCAAAGTGACCAAGTTTAAAGTGTGCAACGTATGCGTGTAGTCTATGCAGAAGCAGTGGAGGGCAAGGACTCATCCTACCCTCAGCAGCTGCCAGTCATTGCACACAAAGATGCTGATGAAGTCCTTGCAGTCCCGTCTCTCTGCTACTGCCATGTAGCGGCCGTCCTTGGTGAAAGCGATCCCTGCCAATGAGAGAGTTAATTTAAAAAAAAAAAAAGAGAGAAAACAAGAGAAAATAGCTGATGTGCTGTGGATACAGTCCCAACATGAGCTTTCAAATCTTTTCATGTGTAGAAGGTGACAAAAGCCACTTTGGACTAGTGTTTTTCATCACCAACGCATCCAGCTTAATTTATGGTCTTAAAGGACCCTTCAGCGGTGAACACAAGCTGAAGAACAGGCACAGAGATCAGATGTGATCCTTCATTCACAGTGAGAGTACAACGAGCCCAGAGCACATCTCAGTGCACCGCAGCAGGTGGCACACAGGGACTGATCTCAGAGACCTGCATCCCTGCGGGCGAGCTAACCCCTCAGCAGGGAGGGTCCCAGAGCCTCTTCTGAAACACGTGTTTCATCCAAATCATTTTCCCCTTTCTGCCATCTTAAAAAATACCATTCCTGTGTGACACTTACCCTGCTGACAAGCTTTGGGATATTTGATGTAAGACACAGATTTCGTACACAAGGACCACACAGTTATCCGCAGCTGTCACAAAAAGGACAAGGAAGCATTTGGTTATTCTTGTAGATAAAGTAAGTAAATAGGAAGCCATAAAACTAATTCATGAACACACAGTGGATCACTATACCTTCTGTGGTTAATTTGCAGCTATTTTATGTAGCTCAAACACAAAGCCCTAAGAAGTAACTGCGAGGAATTATCTCCCAATGGCCTTCAATTAGCAAGGTTACTCGTTCCAAACTAACGTGACAGGCACGCTGAATACTCTAGAGGGGCACGTGAGATGCAGAACACCAATATGGAGAAAAGCTCTTCATTGACCTTAAAGTTACTGACATTGGCATGACTCTAGCTACATGACTGTCAATGTATCATACAGAGACACACTTTTCAGTCAGGAAAACACCATCACAGAATCTGGAAGAGGGATTAGAAGTTTTTTTGCATTTATGAATGGATGAGATGTTACAGCAGCTTAAGAACATCGTATCTCTTGGGACAAGGCTACTAAGTATGAAAATTTAGCTGTATTTTTCAGCTTTCAGACACACTCAGCTTTGACAGCTAATTTGCATTTTGCTTGTCCCTCCTCAGCCACCCACAAGGCGGCAACATTACATAATTACTGAAAGAATTAGAAAAGAACCAAAATATGGTACCCAAAGCCAGGCATGAAAAATCCTGTTTGGGGTATTTCTGGAGGCTTGGGCATCCATAAGACACAAAACCTGACGAGAAGGCAGTCAGCTGCAAAACAAGCCTCTCCACAGCTCTTCAAGGTCACAGCCTGCATTCTGGAAGCTCTGTGTTGCCATCTGCAGATTATTCAATTAAAAACAAATACTTACTCTCCCTTAGCAACGGCAGCTACACCAGACATCTGTGCATTAACCAGGATGCCATCTGAACCTTTGCATTTCTATCTGGAGTGAGGAATGCTTCCAGTATAATTTTTTTTCTTGTATTTTTCTACATTTCATTGCACCAAGGTAAGAGATTCTAGAAGAGACGCAGGTAGAACTGTTTTTGCAATAAGGCACCACAGTCATAAAGCTACCTCTCCCAGAACTACTCAACAACAAAATTAGTTCCAGTTTATTATATAAGTAAAGCTTCAGCACTGTCTACATCTCATCATCCTCCTGCATCAGCTGCAGACCAATCACCAGCAGTCCTGGGAGGAAGTTTCTGCTACACTTTCTTTGTCCTCAATTCACATTTTCCTTCCCTGAAGTAAGTGGTGCCATTCAGTGGTGACACAGGGCTCCAAGACAGCATCCTCCGTATCTGTTCTACCTGTGCACTGCAACAGAACTTGGAGGGTTTTTTCATTGCTGACATCATCATTTTTTTGCCAGGAAGCACAAGGCAAGACATTGACATGGTGTTCAAACCAAGCTTCAGAATCCTAATAAAAGCTGCCTCCCTCCAGAGATACATGCAGCCCCAAAGAAAAAAGAAGCATTAGCTGTTCTCCCTACTGCTTTTTATATACACAAGAAAATTTTGAGATTTGAAGAGACAGAGAAACCAATTTAAAAAAAAATACAGGAAAGAGCACAACCAGATCAGATTCAAGCCTTCTTCTATCCAAAGTTAAAAAGGATATTGGACCACTATTTAATGCAGTGTTTATTTTTCTCTTCCTTTATTTTACAGGCATGAAATTACAACTAGACATCTACAGTACCACTTCTAAATTTAGCAGGTCCTAGAGGAATCCACTAGATGAAAAACATTAATCAAGTTTTATCACTGCAACCGCTCACTTCCGGACATAGGAAAATACAGCATTGTTAGTCTGCTCTTCAGGCAAGATTTACTTTAAAAATACCAACACAATGCCTACACACATTCTTCTATAGCAACTGCAATAGTGATACGCTGCTTGCTCCCATTCATTGCAGTGTTAAATGTGCTTGCTGCTGTTCCTCCCTTGACCAAAACACGCAGCGTACACAACACGCATTCTACAGCCACTTAATACAAGCTTAGCAGCTGCAAGCTTTGAATGCTGAGGCCTGGATTGTAATTTCTCCTGACAAAGGCATCCAAAGTTACATTTGTGCTGCTGCTGGGCCTCACAACCAACTCACCTGGCCTGCCGTGCGTCAAACACGTCTCTATCCTGGGCCACGCAGGCTGGCTCAGAGCCTCCAAACAAGGCAAAACCTCACTGCTCCCATCACGCTCAAGTGCAGCAGAAGAGGAAAATCTCTAGAGGTGAGAAACAGCACATCACACGCAGAGCTCTTACTGGCACCTCTGCCTCCCCTGAGACTCCACCGCAGAGTAGAAAAGGCAAGTACACCTTCACTTGGAAAAGTCTTTCTGCATCCATGTCTGCTTCATCCTCAAGTGCAGTCCTCTGCTGTTCGGAGAGAACCTTCTCTAAAAGAGTCAAGGTTTGTAACTCCCCAGAGAAGACACCAATAATGGTTTCCCTGTTCATTCTTGTCAGCGTGCGCTTCATGGACAGCAAAAGCTTCAGTAACATTAAACACCGACGTTGCTGGAGTAGTGCTGTACTGCCCCATATTCCTCCCCAACACATCCTTTCCAGCAGGTATGGCGTAAATCTCAATGACGCCACTGCAGCACTGGAGAGAGATACACACACCCATGGGATGTTTACACCCAGGCTACAAAAACCCCACAAAAACACACCTTCAAAAACAAAGACCCTTTAATATAACTGGATACCTACAACCCTGCGATAACCAAAGCACTTCAGACTTGATCTGAAACAGTCACGATGCACCCGTAACAACCATGAGATCCTCTGTTCAACTTCAGCGCCTCTCTCCTGAAAGGGCTGCAGGCTCTGACTGCAGGTCAGAGACCACGTATACGCTCTGCCGTAACGCCATTGCAACCTCTCACCCAAGCCACACAACCTGAAGATTCTGGCCTAGTGTTACAAACACTTGAAACCAAACCATTTTGATTCCCAAAATTAGGATTCTCTTCAGTTGTTCTATTTGTGTATGCTCAAAACATTTTTACAAACTGAGAAAGTTACATTACGTGCTCAATGTAGGGCTATCTTACATGGATTAACAACACAGTTACAATTTGTCACAAAAGGGGAGAACCTTCACATTCCCAATCAGAACTGAAACATTACTTCGCAATCTTGCCCAACCTGCCAACGCAAACTAGCTGAAGAAAGATCATTTCAGAGCTAGCAGATATTATTATGAGAAACAGAAACATGAGATGCACAGAGGGGGGAAAAAAGAAAGCCAAACGCTTCAAAAATCACAATAAATTCCATTGCTCTTATTTGCTTTTCTCAGAGACTTTGTGGGGAAGGAACAATTGCTTTTACAGCAGAACAGAGCGCGGTCGAGACTGCAATGAGCTCTTCACTGATCACGTTGAGGGGTGCTTTCTCTTTAGCGCAGATGGCTCGATTAAGTGGAGTTGTCAAACTCACATCCTAACGATAATGGTGTCTGAGAAGTTTTCAGCTGTTGTTTTGCAGTGGAAAAACAAACCAGAAGCAGAAGCATTTTTAAAATAGCCTAAAAACAGCTGAGAAATAAGAAGTATTTAGATGGCAACGTGATAAACAGTCTCCAGTGCTGGGTTCAGGACTACGTCCCAACGTTGACAGCTACAGGCAGGTGTAAGACTGGTGATTTTCAACAGATAAAAAACACACTTTTAAACAACCTTGCATCTCAAATGACTGTCAACTTTTGTCCCAGACTTGACTGGGTCACAAGGCCTCCTTACATAGCAGTGTCTGTCAGCACCGGATTTCAGAAGATTATTCAGAGCACATTCCTCGACAGAAAGCATTTTTCAACCACTGTAGCCATTTCCAGTTACTAAGGATTAGCTCCAATATACACAGAAACACACACTTTCTTTCCCTGCTGCTGCAGTTTGAAAGCAGCTCTTTAATGCTTCAGTACCTAACATGGAACTAGGGAAAGTACAATATATGTAGTTTACAAGTATGGCTCTGAAAGAAACACTCAAGAACAATGCTGCTGGTCTTCAAACCACTTATCACCACACACCAGAGTCACGAGGAAGCAGAGGATCCATTTGCTTTCTCTATATCTTTTATCTGCAGCTCTTCTTTAAGCTCTATATGTGCCTATAAATTCAGGTGGAACGACGGCACTGTAACAAGAGAGGTACCTGGTACAACACCTTGCATAGGACAAACTGATACCGCGGAATCATCTAGCAATCAGTTGGCTGGTTTACAGCCTGCAGGCAAGCAGAGCTGCCTCACAGAGGGGATGTCAGCAGGAGAGGAAGCACTCGCTACAAACCATAGCTATGGGACAACAAGCTGCTTTCAGAATGTGTTTTTCCAACTAATTTAGATTTGCTCTTGATTAGTTAGGTGAAAAAAAAGTACCTCTTTTTTTTCCAAAAAAAACCCCTGCTCTTCCTAACAGAACTGTACTTCAGCTTGGCATAAACAACAAGGTGATGAAAAAAATCAAGTTGCAACTCTTCTGACCACTTCTCAACCAGCCTGCATCTTTCTACATCTCAGGACTTCCATCCCAAATGTTGTCAGAATGACCCCCACACACAGAACACTTAAGCTAACATACAGCACAAAGATGCTTTCAAAATTTTGGGGCGAACACCTAGGTACTACACAGATTTTTGTAATTAAGCACAGTAAATTCCTCTGCATCTGACAGTAACCCATTACTGTGAAAAACAATCCACTAGCAAGTGAAAGGACAAAGTCTAATCTGACAGTAACCCATTACTGTAAAAAAAAAATCCACTAGCAAGTGAAAGGACAAAGTCTCTACGTACTTCCTCCAATACGACTGTACCATTTAGTTACCTTGTATATAATAATTCTTCTGGGGCACTACTAAGTATGGATTGCTAGAAATAAACTAGCACAACCATATCATTTTAAAAAATTCTAGGAATAAGAAAGTTATTTGTGAGCTTACAGTGGAGCTCGCATGTAATTCTTCAGGTCATCGAGTATGAGGAATTAGCTGGTGCTGTTTGAAAATGCCAGGCTACCGAAGCCAAGTGGCGCTGGTTGACCGGGAACCCCGAAGCCCTCCGAGCAATCACTGAATTTGGTAATGTACATAATACACCGATATTAAGTATCCTGGCAGTTTCTATCTCGAGCACTACTCCTGTCTGTCCCACCAGACTATGGATTTAGCAGAGGGAGAGCAAACACAACACAGACATCAGCATAACCCAGGCAGCTGTCTGACAAAAGCTAATTTAGCAACCTGTTTACAGCTGGAAAGAAAACTTACCCCAACACAGATGCCAACTTGGCAAAGGCTTAATGAAATCCTCTAAGGTCAAACCAAGTTCTGTTGGGAGGCAATAAATACTCACTAGTCCACCCCCACGCACACATGCCACGAGATACTCACTTGTAGCACATAGCACCAGCCTTCAGGTTGGGTTACTGACGAGCAGGCATGTCTTTACTCACTTCAGGTTAGAACTCTGGACTCATTTTTTCATTTTAATTACCATTGGTGTGATTCATTCCTTGGAAAACTAGGGCCTAAATCCATCACTCCTTGTAACCCACTATCTAAAGGGGTAGGGGAGTGGAAAAAGACTGCTTTATAGCCAGAAAATCTCTATCCCAGTCAGCAGTAAAAGGCCTTCCTAGCACGAAACGTCCTTCCTGCAGGATTCCACTGTGTGCATCAGGAGCTACACCATAGCTATGTGCAAGTTTCTCCACAGGTTCCCTGAGAGCACCAGCATTTGCACTCCAGTCCACACACACAGATGACAGTCCCCCATCCATATTCCATTAGCACTGGGATTTGCATGAAAAAAAGGAAAAATCTTGCACGATAACATCCGAGTTCATTACTAGCGAATGACACAATAACCTGTAATCTAAAATCCATCTAGTTTTGAAAAGAGTAAATACAGCAAAGAGAAAAATATCTTGCATTAGTTCTCTGCTGACAGAAGACTGTTCATCATTGTAGTGAATGACATGAATCATCAGCTCTATTCCAAAGACTATCAGACTTCCACACGCCTTCCAACGCGCCCAGGGCCCAGCATCCACAAAATGGTTTGGATTCTGCCTTAGTGCGGATTCCAGAACACGGGTCTTAATCAATAAGCGCTTACAGAGGGTTTTAATTTTAATTTTGCAAGTGGTTCTGTCAACAGCAGTCTGACTCGTAGGTGTCAAATCAAACAGTTATTTCCAGGATCTGGATCTAAATCTCATAGGTCAATAAAGCTAAGACCATATTTTTTCATTCCATAGCCACTCTTAAATGTTTATTGTTGGGGTTTTTTTGCTAGAAATCCTGAGCTAGAAACAACACATTTGATTTCTAAAATTGCTTCAATGAATGCCAGCTATCCCTACACTTTTCTCTGACACATAATTTTACCTTTGAAGCTAAGTGTCCATTTTCTATCTTATCATCAGAAGCAAGAGGATAAGGTGTTAACAAAATAACTAACATCCAAGCTGGAACTAGCCTACATTAATATATGAATACAGGAGAACCATATCTGCACTCTTTACCACCACTACAGCTTTAAGAGCTTTAGGTTATTTTAGGAGGCAAAGGGCAGACAGTAACATCTGATACCCTTGAGAGTAATCATGACTTCACACTTACATGGAACTCGGTTGTATTGAGAATGTGACGACCATCCGGACTCCAGCATGAAGCCACCAATCCTGCTGAGCCCTCGTCTATCTTACAGTGCCAGTCTGGCTGCTCCAAGGACCAGACCTAGAGCAGAGAGGAAACCAAACAGACAGTGCACCAAACCAACAGCTCACCTAAACCTCTGCTTACAAGAACACGCTGCATCTGAGAAACGGTTCCTGCATCGCACACCAGAGAGGTCAGGAAACCCCTGAGAGCCCCTGGCCATGAAGGACTGGCGCTGGATCCCACTACAAAAGTAAGACCCACACCTCTGCGTGTTAATACAAACTGTAAAGTAAGGTGGCTTTTTTTATGTGACAAATATTCTGAACATCCAACTCTTAAAAAAAAAATGTTTTAGTCCATTTAACAAGTTTGCATGTATTTATTTCCTATTGAATTAAGAAACTGGTAGGACAATCAGCTTTGATTTGTTGTGATAAATATTTGCATTCGAAGTTTTGGGGTTTTTTTAAGCTAAGGTGTTTTTAATGGTTTTAAAAATAATAGCAGAGTGGGTTATCCTCACACCATGCAATAACAACATCAGCTACTTTAGCAAAAGCATTGAATTAGTGCTTGTCTCTAAGAAGCTCTCACTCGCACCACACACGGATCCCCGATAGGAAACACACTGCCCTGCTTTTGTCCTTACCTGAACAATCCCCCGCTTGTACATGGCACACAGTATGAACAGGGAGTCAGACGACCACTCGATATACTGGATCTGATCCAGGCAAGTGTAGAGCTGGAGGAGCTGGAGGGTGCTCGCCTCCCGCAC